GGGCGAGAGGCTCACGTGCTGGTCACGCCTTGAGCCAGGCCGGTCCCTGGCACCCTCGGCTGCGGGCCTCGCTTGCAGTGCCCTTGGGCTGGCTGCATGACCCCTGCTCCAGAGCCACGGGGCACGGGCCCGTCCCCACTGTGGCTCTGCTCCACTCCTTTTTTCACACCCCTTGGCCAGCTGCCGGGTCCTGCTGGATTGCCCCGGGGACGGGCAGGGGCCCGGCTTGGGCTGCCTTCTGCATCCTGCCCCCTAGCACTGCCTGCGCTCTGCTGCTCCCCTCCATCCTTCTCGCCCTCTTTCTTTGTCTCGCCAGCCCTGGGGCGGGGGTCTAGCCCATGTGGTCCTGGGGCCAAGGTGGCCCCGTCTTGCTGGTCCCTGGGGGGAGCGCTCGGGGCAGGCCCCCTGTTTGATAGGGGCTGCACGGACGCTCCCTGGAGCGGGGGGCCGGAGTCCGTGCAGCAGGCGGAGTTGAACCCTCAATAAAGGAGCTCTTTTTCTTGAAGGCTTGGTCTCCGTGTTGTGCTGGGGGGGGTCATGAGCCCTTTCCATCCCCACCGCTCGACCATCCTCAACGCCAGCCCTTGGCTGCAGTTCACTCTGCCACTCTCCGCTCCCAATCTGCGAGAGCCTCCCCGGGGGCACTGGGGGAAGGAGAAACAGCTCAAGTCCCTCTTGCTTTTTGCAGAGACTCCCCCAAACGGGCTGTTTTTGCCCTGACCTACCTGGGTCTTGCTCACCCCACACCAGCTCTGCCCCTTTTCGCCCAGGGGGTAGCCGGGTCCAGCAGACAGGGGACTCGGGATTCAAATGTGGGCGTGGGTATAAAAGCCACGGCTGTGAAGCAAAGCGGGCTGTTTTCCCCCAGCAACGTGGCAGTCCCATCCTGAGCTCTGGGCTACGCCTGTTCCCGAGTTCCCACCATGGAAATATGGACCAGGCGAGTGCCTGGGGTCAAGAGCGGGCCCAAGGGTCTCCCTTGTGAGGACCAGACACCGGGGCAGTGCAGCCCTCGCTCCCCAGGCACCCTGGGGCTCTGTGCCTGGGACATCCCTGATCCCAACCAGCCGCCGCACGGCCCTGCCTGACCCGGGGAGCATCTGTCCCATCCCAGCCCGCTTCCAGCTCCACGTGGCCTGGTGGCTTCCTTTGCTGAACACCAGTCCTTCAAGCTCGAGAGGGATGACAACAGCTGCCAGCTGCTCCTGGACCCTTCTCAGGCAGGCTGGGCAGGCGAGGCATGAGCCGGGCTGGTGGCTGCACAGGGGGCAGAGGAGTCCTTTTGGCAGGACACCAGCTAAAAGAGCCACCAGTGCAACTCGGAGCAGCCCCCGGGGTGCTCTAGCTTGCAGGCGACTCCCATGGGCTCCACAGCTTGGCCAGCAAGCAGGGGCTTTGGTGGGGGGATCCGTGGGGCTGGTTCCTGTGGCACAGTGCTGGCCTTTGAAGGCATCCAGGGCCTGGGCGGGAGGGGATCTGTCCCCCGGACGTGTGACTGAGTGGGAGGGGAGAGCACATTTCACTTCCCGTGCGAGCAGACACGAGGCAGGAGCCGGCCCGTGCCTTCCTGGACTGTTGGGGCTTTGCAATCCAACAGGAGCTGAGCACCAGCAATGCTGGACCCTGGCATGCCCCAGCCCCAGGTCCGGCTCCCTCTCCCAGACCCCTGCGCATCCCCTTAGGCCACTGGGAAAGATCAAGGCAAGATCCTTGTCACCCAGCCCAGCAGCCACCTTGCATTGTGGCGCAGAGCAGGGTGCTTCAGGCCCAGAGATTTCAAGTCTCGGAGGAGCCACTGGCTTGTGCTGTCGCTCTGGGGGTGGCGGGCACGGTGGGGCCCTGGAGCTCCCTGCACCCACCTGCAAGCAGGGAGGTGCTCGGTCCAGATTCCCCGGGGGCGGGTTGGAGTCATCGCCGGCTCCGAGGCAAACAAACAGGAACAGATGAGCTCAGCTCAGCGCGGGCTTTCCCACGGCACGCCTGCATCTGAGCTCTGCAGACACGGCTGTCAAATAGCCGGGGGGGGAGGGGAGGATAGGCATGCATGTCAAACATGACACACGTGCCAAGGCTGGCTGCAGCACAGATGTCATGCCAAGCTGCTGCCTCTGTGACCGCTGCTCTGCGCACACAAGATGCCCAGTAAGAGCATCCCTAGGTGGAGATCGCCCAGCGCCCAGCCCTCCCCGCCTGGGGGCTCTGCAGATGTCCTGGGGGCTGCAGTAGAGCCCCAAAGGCATTAGACAGCTCAGCTGGTTCCCGGCATTGGCGGCGTCTGATACTGTGAAATCTCCTTGTCCTATTGTGTAATTGCACCTTGTTTGTTTGGTGTGCATGTGTGTGTTTGTACACACATGTGCCTTGGCATGCCACACCTCTCTGTCATGGTCAGGCCCATGTATTCCCCAGCCCCCACGGGCTAAGCATCTCACCCTGAGCCCGACACAAGCCACCATCCCCACAGCACCAGATCCGCATGGAAGTGTCTGCAGGTTTCTCGGTGCCCAGCATCTCTGCCAGCCAGGGCTGCGCTCTGCCAGGCGGGCCGCCCGTCCTGCTCTCTCCTCCTTCCCTGCGTCTCATCCAGCTGGCTGGCTAATGATGTGTACTGCCGGGGCCTCCCGAATGGCTGCGTGTGCACAGGCGGGTATTTTTATCTCCCAGCCCTGAGCACGTTTGTGCCGTGGCTCTGCCGGTCTCTCCTGGGATGCGCCGGCTGCTCTGGCCACAGCTGTTGCTGAGGCTGGGCTGGCCTGGTGTTGCGCCGCATGGAAGTCCCGCTGCCTCTCCTCATGCAGGCCGCTTCTGGGCGGCGCGGGACTCAGGCCCGTGCCAGGCCCCAGGCGAGCCTGGACACACGCGTTTAACGCTGTCTAAGTCCCACGGCGATGGTGCCTGGCGCCAAAGCCTGCTTGGGTCCTCTGGGCCCTTCTGCCTTGAGGGACTTGCCCAAGGTTGCATGGGAAGGCGGTGGCAGAGCAGGGACCGGAGTGCGAGTCCCTCCCAGGCAAGGCCCCCCGACCACAGGGTCCATGCTGGGGCAGGGCCCTGCTCTGCATGTGTGCGGGATGCCTGCAGAAGGGGGGAGGCCCCTTGCCTCGCAGCAAGCAAGAGGCTGCTTCAGTGCTGCCCCCAGCCCTTGGCCCAGGGTGCAGCGAGGGACCCCTGGGCAGGCAGCCCCGGGGCTGGGCTCCTGCGTAGCACTGTCCAGGGAAGGAGCACCTCCATTGCTCCCCATCTGTTAAGGCTGGGACTGCTGCCTCCTCATGCACACTGGTGAGTAGCCACTGCCCAGGGGTGCCCAGGGCCAGCCTGAAATGCAAACCAGTCTGAAGTTGGCACCGAATCCAGGCGGGCAGGAGGGGCTGGGCTTTCACCCTGCAGGACAGATGTCGTGTTCCCAGCAGCCCGGAAAGCAGGGCCATCTGCTCCTTGGCGTGTCTGACTGCCGCATCGGGGACACCCCAGGCCAGGGGTCATCCGGCCACGGAGAAAGCACATTATGGATGAACACTGGCAGGCCCCCACCCCATCCAGGGAGCTGCAAGGGACACCTCCGCCCCCCTGCAGCGAGGCGGCCGTGCCACCCCCCGTCCGCTCCCCCGAGATAAGTGCGTATCACTGCGACTGCGTTGCACAGCTGCTCCCCTCCTGAGACAGCCCCATCCTACCCGCCTGAGCGGAGGTGCAGAGAACAGTCAGTCCCCAGGGTCAAACGCACGAGCTCTGGGAAAACCGCCCCGATGCAAACATACTGCCCACACAGGCGCCCGGGTGGGGACTCTGCTCCGAGCACCGGTGACATCTCCCAGCTCCCTTCGTGCGTCCAGGCAGCCGGGCCCAGGCCAAATATCCTCACGTCTTCTTGGCAGCAGGGAGTGACAGGAAGCCGAGCGGGTCCGAGCAGCAGCTGGCGCCGGGCCTGGGGGAGCGGGCTTGCAGAGCCTGGCTTCTCCCAGGTCGGCCTGGGGCTGAGCAGGGCGCTGCGCTGCCAGCGGTCCCGGGCCCCAGCACTTCTCTGCCCCTGCCAGCAGCACGAGTGTCAGGCCCAGGACAGAGTCCCAGAGGTGGACGAGAGCAAAAGAGGAGTGTGGAAGGAGCCCCTCGGGCTGTGCACTGGCCTGCCACGCCTGTGCACGTGCGGCAGCCTCCGCCGCGGCCTCCTGTGTGCACTCGTGGCTGCGCGCCGGCCTGCTAAGAGCTTGTCTCCCTGCAGCGCTGTGCCCCTCCAGGGCCCTGTCAGCCAGGCCTGCTTTCCGGCCCAGCTCGTGCCCCGGGCCTCTCTGACCTCCCTGGTGTGCCAGTCCCAGCGCCGAGCCTCCCCGGCCCCCGTCGCCGCTTCGCCTCGGAGTCCCCTCACGCGTTAGTGGCAGGGGCTGCGGGTGCGTCGCACACCCCGACCGCCATGGGCACGCGTGGCCACGGTCCGGCTCTGCGGGGGCCGCTCGGTGC